CACTGAATTTTTTTTTTTTTTTAATCCTCTTTCCCTCTTAAATTTAACCAAATTACGCGCTAAAAATCACAGTTATTTGTATTACATATTATTTTTGTATGCTTTATATTCACAACTATCAAAATAGAATAATCGATATAGGTTTGCCTAAGACATTTAAAATCATATCAACATATTATCTCTGCATATAATAAAAGAAAGAGTCTGTGTGTCTTTTCGTTCGTGCTGCCCGTAAGCTAATAGACCCAGGGCTACAAAATTTGGTATATAGTTGCATACAGACAAGAGCCAGTGCACCTCGAAATGATTTTTTAAAAATTCGATTTTTTTTTAAGTTTTTCGATTTTATCGCATCATTTTGAAATTCATAGTTTCATTTTTTTAGAAATGTGGTTTTGGCAACAGTTTTTCATCAATTTTATACTGGACTGCTGACTGTTGAAAACCAGCCCTGTTGCCACTTGGAAAAATCAGGGCGATCACTCTGTGCAGTTTTTAAATTAAATGTTTTTTGTGGATACTGGACGTTTATTGAGAGACGGCAACGGAGAAGTTGGTTAATTTATTTATTAGGATAATAATATTTGTATTAAGGGATATTGCTTGTAATTTTATTATATGTAATTCATTTTTAAAAATTTTAATTTTTTTTTTATTTTATTATTATTATTTTTAGTTCAAAGGGGCTTTGTCCCTGAAGGACTACTGTTTTCGTTTTGCGATTTTGTGTTGAATCACTATAAATGTCCGTTTCACTTTTCAGAATGTTGCCACCAAATGTTAGAGTCCTGCATTATATTTGAAGAAATTAAATAATGAAAAATCTGCATAAATGTATGTATATTTTTAGCATTGTGATAAAACAGTGGTACATAGAGCCATCTAATTTTGAATGACGTAATCCTCCTACGAATATGGGTATGTGGAAGACCAAATTTGAAATCTGGAATTTTTTTTATGATCGATTTCCTATTTTCTAAAACTTTAATGAATTTTTGATTAACAAACTCAAGAATTTCAAAGCGAGCAATGATAACACTCTACGGGAAAAAAATCCTTTTTATCTCCAGCGCGCGGAACCGTGCATCGGAAATTCTAAAGATATGCTCATTTTAAAATTATTTTGCGGCATTGCTATTGAACTGCATTTTATGGTTTAAGTGCAAAGAACAAGATATTTAATATATAAAGGTAACACACAAAACGTTAAACAATAGCCCCTTTGGACGTAATTTAAAATCTGAAACGTATCAGATTTTTTTGTTTGTTTGTTTGATGAAGTTGTTCTGCAGAGTAAAATTCTGTGTAGTATTTAAATTTAACGTTTGTTATTCCTTTTAGGCACTTTTCCTGTACATTTAAAAGCCAGACGAAGGCTGGCCGCGTAACTGCTAGTAGTATTATGAAAAGAATCAGAGAAAAATTATTGTTAACTTACATTTTAGATTAATATAAATTTTATTTGCAAGAATAAGGTTTGGAAGAAATATTATGGTATAAGGAAAAATTAATTATAAAGTCATGTAAAGAATATTCATTATTAATTTCAATTCTGTGTATTTAATATTAAGTACTAGGGATAAATTTAAGAATATTAAATTTTTCTATGTACTTTAGGATAAAATTCTACAAGAATACTATAAATTACTTTCCGTTACTTAAGCTCACTTACTTTCTGTTGGATTGTTTCATCACCTGGAATTCTACATTGCGCAGCAACCGTTATAAAAAAGACTTAATTTTGTAATATGTCTTTAAAACACTCCTAAAATAAGCTGAAGTCTTAATATAATTTATAACATACGAGCGGACAAGGCTGCTATCATGTAAGCACCTAAGCAAATCTTATGCGTTCTATGGACACCTGAAAACAAAATGTATAAACACATTTCAATATAAATGAAATGAGTTCATTCTTTATCCAGTTCGTAAATAATTTTTTTGTTGCTAAACCAGGAATGAAAAACTTTCGATACTTCAGTTTGAAAAGTAAGATGTCATGATTTAAATTTGATGGAATATATCAACTTTTTCTCAATATAATAAATGAATTAACGTGGCAATAACATACCGTGTCAATTATCCTAACATGAAACAAAAAAAAATTTCAACAGCACTAATTTGTTTAAAATGTTGACATTAACGAGAATTTTCGACATATAATGACGTTAGGTGCAATCGCGTGCTTTCTTCAACGTTAGAATATGAACTTATATAATAATAGTTAATGTTTGGCTATTTTTATTTCATGCTAGCGGAAGTACCGGATGCCAGTTAAGTTAGATTGAGAGTAATGTATCTGACAACAGAAAGAACAATTCCGATGAAATCCTTCTCTAATAACGATACAAAAAATACGACTCATATCCATACATTTTTCAGTCTGTTGCGATATGGAACCCACATAAAAAGTTTCGATAGAAACTTATTCTTTCCTATTATATCAGCAACAATAGCACGCAGTTTTTAATGGTTTTCGCCTTTCTAATAAAATGGCCGTAAAAGCTCAAATTCCATCCAATATTTCACCTATATTCAATTTCAGTCGATTAAATGTGGAAAATAATTTATCATAATTTTATCAGAAATTAATAACGCAGGCAAACAAGCATACTTTATTCTTTATATGCATATTTTGTAAAGCTTACAAATTTTTTATTAAAAATTTCTACGATTTGAAAGCGAGCAGTAGCACATGTTCTGAAATAACTCATTTTTATCTCCAACGCGCTAGACTGTTGCCACTCGGAAAAATGAGCACGAAAATGAGTGCTTTCAGAGTTTTTTAATTAATATTTTGAATGATTAAAGTTGTACGAAGATGGGAACAGTCAAAATGGCTTCCCACGAATTTTTGGAATCAGGAATAATGCATTTAATGTTTGGTAATGCTATTTTTATTTCATCTTAAGACTTCGAAATTTTTTACTAAAAGAACACTAGGATTTGAAAGTGAGCAGTGGCAACAACTTTCAAAATAAAGCAGATTTTCATTTCCAGCTTGCGAGACTGTTGCCACTCGGAAAATTGAGCGCGAAAATTATCGTTTTTCTGACTTTTTAATCTTTGATTTTAGCTACTATTTATTTTTTAAAAAGTGGTACTTCTACCTTTTCCAGGACTCAGAAAAGAATTGAGTTTGGTGACGAACGCTATAGTAGTGACTATTAGCGAACAAACATATATACACAGGCTTTCTTCTTTATACATTTAGATAGATTTTGTAAAACTTACAATTTTTTTAATAAAAAAACTCTACGATTTGAAAGCGAGCAGTGGCGACAATTTTCGAAATAAAGCAGATTTTTATCTGCAGAAAATTATAGAAAAATAAGCCAATTCCCTCTCATTCTATCAGCAACAATGGCACCCAGCTTTTAATGATTTTCGTCTGTCTAATCAAATGGTCGTAAAGGCTCAAGTTCCATCCAATATTTCACGTATCTTCAACTTTAGTCGATTAAATGTGGCAAAACATCGATCATAATGTATCAGAAATCAATCACGCGAACAAACAAGAAAGCACACAAACATGTATAAAGATATAGATATAGATTTTCTAAAACTTGCAAATTTTTTATTAAAATACTCTACGATTTGAAAGCGAGTAGTAGCAATACATTTCGAAATAAAGCATTTTTATCTCCAACGCGCCAGACTGTTGCCACTCGGAAAAATGAGAGTGAAAATTAACGTTTTCAGAGTTTTTAATTAATATCTCGGCTGATTAAATTCGTACGAAGATGAGAATGTTAGAAATGGCTTCTCACGAAGTCTTGAAATCCGGGGGGGGGAGGGAATCTCTCTCGAATCTCAACTCCCCACCGTACCGGAAGAGATAATGTCACAAACAAACAAATAAACGCGCACAGAATTTAATAGTGCAGAAGCTCAATATATATCAATCGTGTATATATCATTAATATAGTTACAGGTTGAGTAAAAATGAGATATACTCATTCAAAAACTAGTTCATCTAACTGAATCGCTTGCAACGGAAATATTATGCATACTTTTATTGTTTAATTTCTGTTACTGGATTTAGCAACGCAACAGTAGTTACGTCCTGATGCTAAAAATTTCTTTCGAAATATATTATTCACTAGAAATATAAATTAGAAGCGAAGACTCTTAACATAATAGCAATTATTAAAATGATTATCTGTGCATAAGAATTTTTCTTTGAAATTTAAAGTACTTTAATAATTCCATTTGGTTTATTTGAATCAAATAGAATGAAAAACTCAATTTGGATCAGGCAACCAAATATAAATCCAGTTATTAAAGAACTGTAAAATAAAATTCAAATGAAAGTTCTAATAAACTGGTAATCATTTTAATTATTATTATTACGATCAAGTAAACAATTTTCATTAGAATATTTAATTTTCTTCTTCACTAGTTGTTGAAGGTTAATGTTATATAATTCAAATATTTTTCCAAGCAGCAACTAAAAATTTAATCTTTCAACTAATGCTTATACGTGATCATATCTCTATTTTTTATTTTCAGATCAAACGCGTTTACGTTCAAAGAAAAAAGTATGTACAACCACGCATTATTTTGCTCGAATTAAAACGTGTCTTTTATTCGCATTGCTAGAATTCCACTTTCAGGAATTTCTTTCATTTGTTTGTCTTAAAAAAAAAAAAAAAAAAAGTACATCCCAAATTCTTCGTCGTCGTGTTATCTCGTTTCCCGTAAGTTATTGTAGGTATTCAACGAATAAAAATATACTCATTTAAAAATTAATTCTTGGTAAAAGGATTTCGCTCATAACACAAAAATCCGCATAACCTTAATTCCTGTTTTCAATTTAGTGATACATCACGTTTTGATGGCAAAAATTGAATAACTCTTTCGCAATTGTTTTCGAAAAGCAAATTTTTTTTTCCCTTACTCGACGTCATGTATGTTAAGTCCTAGCAGTTGCCGATAGATGGCGTTGCTTGAATATTCGGTCTACAGATCCAAACTCGGATGTAAACCGGTGCGTTTTAGCCGAGTTAAGATGTAATATCTTCAATCGTAACATGGTTTCCGCTGGACCTAAAACGTGTATTGCAGCAAATGAAGATACAGCTCGACATTTTCTCTGATATCTTAATATAAGGAAACGTTCTTCGGGACAGTCAAACTACAGAAATTCTTCGTCAGTTAATAAGTAAAAATGACATTTGATAAAATTTGGTCATTCCAAATATAAATTTATGAAGAATTGGTAATTATTTGTAAAAACGAAATATGAAATTTTGTTTGATTTGTGTGAAGTGCCGGTAATTTGATGGTGCATTAGGTTTTTGGGAGACTGTCAAACAAGACGATAAAGGATTTATATTTATTAATTACGTCAAAAGATCTTCGATCGGGGTAAGCTTTAGTTTCTTTTTGATTTTAACTTGTTATGGAAAAAAAAAAAAAAAAACCGAAAGTTTTAAAAGTGTGGTTTGAATATTTCCGCAGTCAGTTAGTTATATGTTGGATAGTAAGCCTCTTTTAACTTATTTGTGAGTTTCGTTTTAAATGCATATAATTTCGCTAAATTTATTTGACTGTTTAAATTTTACTTTCGATTTGCAACAGTTAACTATTAGTTTAGCTTCTTTTTAAATGCATATAATTTCGCTAAATTTATTTGACTGTTTAAATTTTACTTTCGATTTGCAACAGTTAATTCTTAGTTTAGCTTCTTTTTAAATGCATGTAATGTCGCTAAATTTATTTGACTGTTTAAATTTTACTTTCGATTTGCAACAGTTAATTCTTAGTTTAGCTTCTTTTTAAACGCATGTAATTTCGCTAAATTTATTTGACTGTTTAAATTTTACTTTCGATTTGCAACAGTTAACTATTAGTTTAGCTTCTTTTTAAATGCATATAATTTCGCTGAATTTATTTGAATGTTTAAATTTTATTTTCGATTTGCAACAGTTAACTATTAGTTTAGAAAATTATACATGGCTGTTGGAGTATAACGCATAATAACTGTTGCAACTTCATGTCACTTTGGTTGTGAGAATAATAGCCAATATATTCTAATTAAATTTTTTGCTTTTAAATATTAATTTTTAATATTAACATGGTTTTCTGCGAATTTGTTTTTAACTTTAATACATTAAGAATTGAATAAAATGATGTTTAATAACATACCAAAATGAAGTTTGCTTACTAAATTTAGTTAAATTTTAAAATGGGATGTAAGGAATTCTATTGTTTTTAATCAGTCAGTCTTTTAGATATAGTCGGTGGCAGATTTATGAACGGAGAGTACTTTTCATCTGAACTTTTAAGGTCTCTTTAAGACGCACAATATATTGTTTTTTAAATTGGTTAGTGATTTGAAGGCCGCTTGGTAGTAACGCTAGTAATTTTGAACATATTCAGCGATAGCTTTTAAAAATAGTTTGCTTTCTCTAATAATAATGATATAAACAGCTGTTCCATTCAGTGTAACGCTATAAATCGATTTATTTGAAAACTTTTTTGATAATTAAAGTACAAGAAGAGCAAAAAATGCTTACTTACGAAAAAAAAAATATTTACATGTACAAATATTGTGCTTTCACTTTCAAAATGTTCTCTCTCCCCTCTTTCTTTTCTTGTTCACTTTGTATAGTCAAACATTTATCTAGCGGAGTGTTTTAGAAATTTCGAAGACAGGATTGAAATGTTCGTGAACTCAAAATATGCTGCCAAAGAAATTTAGTAATCGATGAATCGCTGCACTGACAAATCACCTCTTATTATTTAATTTTGTTACTTTTTTAATCACAGTTTGTCAAAATCGAAAGATAAAAGACATTCTTAACATTTGAAATTATGCAAAATTTCTACCGGCATCCTCCCGTCTCTTTTTAGCATTTACTTGGCCAGTGACTTTCTCAAAATATTGCAAATAATCATATTGATATAAAAACATATCAGTGATCAATCAGTGTGTACAATTCAGCAATCTTTTGTTGAAGTTAAAATGGCTGGATAAATAAATAGACGTTCTATAATTATTTCAATTTCCTTTCTTGAAAAACGTAGTCAATATTGAATACTCCCCCCATCTTAATAGCTGCATTTAATGTTAATTGTGAATTGTATTGAAGACTGATGCTGAATATGTTTTTTATTACTGAAGTGATTTTGATAAACGAAAGCATTAATTTACATTCTTAAGTGTAACTGGTTTAATGTTTTGCTTTCCATACTTGCATAATATTTTCTGAAGTGATTTGTAACTTGAGTTGTTGTATTGTCAAATTGTAAATATCTTACCCTAAGTTGAAAAACGCATTTAGTTGTGTTTGCTTTTTTATGCTCTAACGATCTGGATTTTAAATTTATACTTTCTGTTGCTTATCCACTGTCTTTGCCTGACAGATGTAGTTAAAATTTACGATAACATCTATTCGGAAAAAAAAAACAACTTATTATTTTTATTTTTTTCCTCTCGCTCTGAAAGAATATTATACAAACTGAAAGAATTTTTTAGTACATTTATGTTTTATGATCATATTATAAAACTGTAGATCCTCTCGTTTCAAATAATTGTTCAAAAAAGCGCTGCAATTATTTTATAAAACTAATTGGCATATTAAAAGAACGACTATAATAGATCCCCTTTTAAAGAAATACTCTTAAGTATTCAATAATATTTAATTTTTTCGCAAATATGTTTTGAGAGTGATCATTCCAACGTGCATCTCATTTTTTGTCTGCTTTATAACGAAGTTTATAATGAAGTTTAGAAAATTTGCTTTGCATGTGGGACTTTCATAAATGACATTTTTTCGTTTTAGCAATCAGGCTCTGAAAACCTTTCGTTTTTTTTCCACATAATTATTCCTTCTAGATTATGCATCGCTTCTGCGGAAGAAGATGAGTGGAGTTACTAATTTTTCAGGAAATTCAGGAAACGAATATAAGGTTTGAATAATTGTGCTATGTTAAAAAAAATTGTCCAAACTGAAAGAGAAATACATCAATGCAAAATTTTAAATTAGACAAAAAAGCAACCTTAGCTTGACGTAGTTTTTAAATAAAGCTTCTGAAAGAAATCGGACATAAGTTCCTCTTTTTCAGGGGCAAAGAAAACTTTTCTTCGTATTCAACAGTGCTGATTTTTAGTATATTATTTCATATATTTTTTCCGGAGCAGCAATTTGAGAGAAAATTTTTGTACTGCACAAAAATATTAATAGTATTAAAAGTATTAACAATTTTTACTAAATACTCTTTAGATAAAATTCCGTTGTTTGTGTATATAAATATCACTAATATAGTATCACATCATATACACACCAATATTAGCTATATAATATACACATCTATATTAGTTATATATATATATATATAATTTTTATGATATATACTTTTATTAGTATTAGCTATTTTACGACAGCCCTGTAAAGACACAAAATTTAATTTTCTTACTATTTTTAATCATTTACGCAATAATTCTTTTTAACTAAATTTTATCCTATACAGTTTCTCTGTGGAATAAATATGAAATAACTAGGTATTATAATAAAAAACAATTACCATGAAACCTTCAGTAAATGAAGCATCTAGCGGTCGAGTGGCAAATGCCGCTGAACACTGGTAGTTCGACCCGAGTTTGAATCCTGAGGAATAGGCTGCATGCATAGGTGTTTTTGTTGTTTCCTTCCATGTTTAGTGTAAATAAATTTCACTTAGAAAGTCCTCCACGAAGATATCTCATCATCCAAAGAATCTAGTGAATCGATCTTTTTTCCAGTCCTAGCATAAACGAACCTGCCGATGATGTTCAATAACATTATTTACGTTCTCAAAATTATTGGTCGCTTTCTTAGGTAGTCGCCGTGAAAAATTCACTGTATTTTTTGTTCTTACAACCAGTCGGCAGGTATTAACCAGGATTAAACTTCTAAACGCTGGTAATTTTAAAGAGTTCGATTGCTACTGGAGGTACAATTTAATCGTGTGCGTCGTCGTTGTTTCTATTCTAAAATTATATCGGTTCTCATTAGAAAACCATGAAAGCTTGCCTTCCATTAGGGAAAAAGCCCTTAAGTGCTTTGTTAGGCCCACCAGCGGTTGAGCGGTATAAGCTGTTGAACACTGGTGGTTCGCTCGGGGTTCGAGTCCCGGCGAACAGGCTAGCTGCATGGATGTTTTCGTGATTTTCCTCGTGTGTAATGTAGCTGCCAGCCAGTTTCTCTCAAAAAATCCTCCACGGGGCATCCCTCCCTTCCCGTGTAGTACTTAAGGGCGGAGCACGTAAATAAGTTAAAAAAAGCGTTTTGTTATAATTTACAACCAAAGCTTAGAATATCTTGTACGCTGGCATTACTTCCTAAAGTGTGCTGCCATCCCATCTATTTTGCTGAAGTTATCTATGCATGTTTTCTTTTTTCATTTTAACTTTATTCATGAAAGTAAATTTCAAGTTTGCGATTTGTTAAAGAACTGCTAATCAGCGGCTGAGCGGTAAAACTACTATTACTACGAGAGTTAAAATGCCAGCGATGGCCGTTTTCGTGTTTTTTACATAAAACGAGAAATTTTAACTTGAAGATCCTCGATGAAAGCGTCCCTCTTCTTAGGCAGGGAGTTTCCGCATGCTTTGCCGTAATGTAAATAATCCATTACTAACAGAGTAGTGGATATTCATTTTTATTTCGAATGATTTATATTTATACAAAAATATAATTCAGCAGAATAAGATCATACGATATTTTTTTTATATAAAATGAACTGAAAACCTGTACATTTCTCTCGTACTAAAATATTTTCAAGTTCCGTATTATATTTTCGAGTTGCTCACCAGCGGCCGAGCGGTGAAAGCCGCTGAACACTAGTAGTTCTGCCCGAGATTCGTGTGCTAGCGAACGGGCAGGCTGTACGGATATTTTTGAAGTTTTCTCCACCCAACAGCGGCTGAGCGATAAAACGCTGAACACTGGTAGTTCGGTCCGATGTTCTAATACCACGAACGAGCTGGCTGCATGGGAGTTTTCGTTGTTTTCCCTATGTGTAATGTGTGTGCTAACTAGGTTTTCTTAAAATTTCCTCCACGAAGACATCCCTTGCCTTAGATAGCCCTCGAGGCTTTGCTATACTCACATAAAACCAAAACCACTATATGTAATGTGGATACGAGCCAGTTTCCCTTAAAACGATTTCCACAGGGTATCCCTCCCTTTCCGTGGAGGGCATAACGGCGGAGGCTAATATAAGTAAAAATATTTTCCAAGTTTTCGTTTAGGTTTCGCTTTAATTATGTCATATTTTGCTTGTGATGGAAATACATTAGTCATTGTAACAATGAAATTTTATTACTTAATCTGCGAAAGAATTATTTAGTTTTCAGTGCTTCCCAAGGCCTACTGGCGGCC